CCCTTAGGGGAGCAGGAGGTTTTCTTCTGGGATTAAACACTGAATACTTCTCGCCAAAACCGGTTTGGCTCAGTGGTAGAGCGTCGGTCTGCGGACTGAAAGGTCCCAGGTTCGATTCCAGTCAAGGCCATGTATTAATACATTGGCAGCTGGTTGATGTTTCTCTCATCGATGTTTCTAGCTCTCTATTCCTCTCCTTTCCTCTCTGTAAAAAATCAATAAAATATATTTAAAAACAAAACAAAACAAAAAACACTGAGCACTTCTAGAAATACCCACTGTGCTAGCCATGCTGCGGAAAGAGGAAATGATTGGCTCAGTCCAAATGGAACAGTCCAAACGCTGTCACTTGGAGGAGATTCAGAAATGACACTGCCAAGGCCAGGCGCTGTTTGGGGTCGTTCATGTATTGTCATAGCTCTTACCAGAACTCCTTTGTACAGAAGAGGAAACTGAGGTTCAGGGAGACCCGTGGCTGTACAGAGCCACAGGCTTGCTCCTGCTGAGTGCTGACCTCGGCTTGTCTCCAAAGGCAGGCTCTTCCCCAGAGGAGAGTCGCCTGCCTCTACGTTGTTTCCGGGGGAGAAGAGGAGGCCATGGCTGACCTGGAGGCTTGGACATTAGTTTTAGTGAAGATTTTAGCCTTAAGTCCTTAGAGGAAACCCCAGTTTGGGGGTTAAGCTTGATTTTCACCTGAGCTATGCTGTGGAAAACAGCCTCCCGGGCTGAGGAGATGGCTGTGATGAGTCAGAGGTGGGATTAGAGAGCCTCCGCCATCACTTCCTACCCTGAGTTTCAAAAAGGCAGGAATAAATCTATTCATTCTGTCTCCGCTCAGATTTTTCCAGACAAGTCCATGAGTCCATGTACACCCCGTCACCACTGAGTCTCCCCTAGTTAGTGTGTGTGCGTGTGTGTGTGTGTGTGTGTGTGTGTATACCTTTATACACATGGATTTTTCTTTGAAGAATTGCCTCACGTGATTATGGGGCTGAGTGGTCCCACAATCTGCTATGAGTTAGAGAACCAGGAACACCAGTGAAGACCTGAGAACCAGCGTTGCTGATGCTGTAAACCCCAGTGTGAGAGAATACTGGCCCTCGGTGGATGGGATGACGCCCACCCGCTTTGGGGAAGGCATTTACTTTACTGGCTCCACCAAGTCCAGTGCTAATGCCGCCTGGCAAGGCCCTCACAGACACAACCTGAAATAATTAACCTGATACCCCACGGCCCGTCGAGTTGATGCAGGAAATGAGCAATCTGGTTAGGCACCTGTGGGAATGTCCCTTAGACTTCCATAATAGCTAACAGCTACCGTTTATGAGGCACTCACTGTGCGCTGGCACTCATGCAAACACTTCATATTGACTCACTTCATACACCTGGCAACTTGTAAAAAGCTAGTTATCAAGTGACTAGCAGTCTTCCTACTTTCCAGATAGGGAAACTGAGGCCCAGAGGAGCTGCCTATAGCTAAGCGATGAAGCCGAGTGGTTGGACTGGAGGGTCCTTGCTTTCAGTCACCACTGTATATTGCATTCCCTGTGGATGGGGCTATGATAAAATACACTGCATTCACTGAGCATCCATACATGGTAAGCCTTCTGCCAGGCATCAGAGATAGTTATAAACCTGCAAATTAAGATAGATTTTTGCCGCATTTGACAGCTGTCAAAAGGAGGGCTCCATGTATTAACTAATTTGACCAAGATCACACAGCTCATGCTATTTCTATTAAACCTGTCATAACGTTTTGATCTTACAATATTTTTGGAATCCATTTCATCCCTTCTCTATGAAGTGATATTTATTCTACCACTTGGACTCGGAGCTGCCAGCCAGCCAGTGGGATGTGGTCTTGTGTATATCAGGGCTGTGGCAGGCTCCTCTGCAGTGCACAGAGAGGCGTGCGGACATGCCGGCTGGTACTCCAGGGCTCCCCTGAGGACAACTCCCTCTGGAAGTGGAGCCTGGCTTCCAAGTCTCCAGTTCCTTATGATCACAGCCCAGTCCCAGCCCCTGTGGGGACATCCATGCTCCTTCCTTTCTGGCCTCAGGGCTATGGCAGCCCCCTCACAGCCCCCATCCCGCCACACCTGCTCCGATGACACATTTAACTTTGGCAAATGGTGCATCTTTTATACCTCTTCCAATTCTCTCACGTCTGAGTGCAGTATTCGGGTGTTTCCAAGCTGGCTCCTGGCCGTATTGATCATGAAAAATTAACAGTTAACGGTTCCAGTGACCTGTGACATGCCGGCAGTGTGCTATTCTCTCCAGTGCTGCCCTAACTGCAGCACTCATCACCGGAGGAGGAACATGCTTGTGGGTTTCACTCCTGCCCTGGTCAGCCAGGCTCCGGAAATATGCAGTTCCACATGGCAACCATTAACCTCCTGTGGCTGTTTACTTTTCCTTACTACTTAAAATTAGATGAAATTAAAGCTTCAGCTCATCTGTTGCATTGGGCACATCTCAAATGCTCTAGTGGCTGTTGAATTGGACAGGGAAGATATATAACATCTCCAACATCACAGGATGTTCTGGTTAAAGGAGAGACACCAATAAACCATGGCCACCTGTGCCATGTGGCTAACGCTCTGTGTTTATATGTTGGGAGGGAGAGAGGAGGTGCAGAACTCGGATGGGAAATCTTCCCACCCCGAAGCCAGTGGAGGTCTCTTCATCCCTCTGCTGCCTGGTCCCTTCTCTGTGGGGTTCTGGGGCCAACAGCCCACTGGCACGTGAGCAGGTGTATTGCTTCCCCTCCAGCGGGTGAGCCACACAGCTCTCCTAGGTCTCCACCTCACTTTGAAGAGACACTCAGTCTGATGAGGTGATTTCCCGGCACATGCTGACAAGGTTGGCCTGGTGGAGGAATGCAGATGGAAGTAAGTCTTTAGGGAAATGCTTGTTTGGCTTTTAGGCATCCTCATTCACATTGCTCATAAAGTAGTTATATTGTTCTCAGCTGGAGAGCCATCTGTTTCTTCTGCACCACCTGGCTCCAAAATTAGGCCGAAGAAACGCCCATAAATCCTTGTTGGTGACTTGTTTTTGTCATGGACATCAATATTTGCTGAAAGCAGTGTCACAGAGACCCGAACCAGCCACCCCTAAGGAGTTCCAGACTTCTACTTTGCTTCTAGGAACAAATGAACTTCATTAGCAGTAGGCACGCTTCCCCCACGTGTCCCAGGTCTTGGTGTTGGAGTGGAAATTGAACCAAATCTTAGCACTGCACGAGTCTGTTTCCAGCTGATTTGTTGTAATCCGGGTCTTGTCGGTTCTTCCTGTTCCCAAGGTTTGTCTTTGGAGGATGATGCTGAGAATAAATGTCTCCTAAGAAATACCAGAAAATATGAAGTCATTAGAGTTGGTAGTTAAATCATTTCCAACCTGCACTTATAAGGCAGCTGGTACAAGCTTCAGCTCACTTGATTTTCCAACAGCCGTAGGAGGTAGTAGGCATCACCCCCCTTTTGCAGATGGGGCCACCAATTCAAGGTCCTCTAGCTATTGTTATGACTCCCAGTAAAGTGTCCATTTTCCCTATTCTCCTTATTATTGATTATATGTTAAGGTCAATAAGCAAAACAGGAAGTCAGTCATGGGAATCTATGTGAAGATCTGGTTTTATTCGGGGTGCATGAAGCAAACATTTAGAAAAGACACCAAGGGCAGGTTGTGCAGTAGAGAGCAGCCTCCTTTCATGGAGCCGGGTCCTCTCCTGACTGGGCTGCTCAGCTGTCTTCAGAGTCCTCCGCGGAGCAGAGCGCCCCGCCCTGCTGAGGATCGGGTAGGGGAGAGGGCCTTGGACTTTGGGAGACTTTCACAGTGTCCCTGACCCCCCAAGGTCCCCAGGTTTATTTTGGCAAAATTTAAATTGATTGAACGGCTATATTGACTGGAGAGCCTAATACAATGAGACGATATAAACTCTGAGACTTGGAAAGAACCTATGAGAGATGAGTCTTTGAACCAGGCCCTTTTCTAAGAGCTTTGCAGCAACCCTCCATTAATCTCTGTCTACCAGTTAAGAAACCGAAACTGAGCAAGTCATTTGCCCAAGGTCACGTGGTTAATACGTGGACGAGCTGGGATTTGAACCTATTTTAATTCCAGAGTCTGAGTTCCTATCACCTCCAGCAGATTGTCTAGGGAAAGTCCCGCTCATTGGTACAGAATTCAGATTCTGAGACGCAAGGCCAGCCTCGGAGGCCGTTAGGAAAGGCATTTTCTAAGCATCTCCAACAGGCACGAAGAACTTTTCCTAAGGAGAAAAGAGCGTTGTAGGATATGCCACTTCCAGACCTGCCTCCAAAAAGAGTGACTCATTGGCCGGCATGTCGCAAATTCCCATGTCTGTGAAAGGAGAGTGCCCCTTTCCCCTGGAAACTGACAGGGGGCTTTCCACTGTAGACAGCTACAGAAGTCTCAGATTCTTCATGTTACAGCTCTTGGTTTTCTTGAAAAGAGAACGGATTAAAAATTTCAAGTCAAGCAGCTGTGTGAACATGTAGTTGGCTACCCACATCCAGGTCAGTAAATGTTCCATAAAGCTGTCAGTGGACTGTGGAGAACAGGCACCAACTCCATAATGAGGCAGCTGGGAAGCACTTTATTTAAATTTATAGATATTCAGCTATGGGTTTTTTGTTTGTTTGTTTGTTTGTTTGTTTGTTTTTGGTGGGGGGGGAGGGTCCATGAACCTGCAAAATTGTATGTTACATTTTTGGGAGATGTGTATATGCACACTTTTTCCAATAGAGACTCAAAGGGATCCGTGACCCCTAAACATTTAATTAAGACTCTGAAGACCTTTTATTACATGACTTACGTGTAGCTCTTCTGGAAAGAGATCCAGTGGCAGCTATGAAAGCCTCGGTCTTATGAGTTTCAGGGGCCATCATGACCTGTCATTTTCACTTTGCTAATTTTCTTTGCATGGATAAAGAATTGATTCGAATAAGACTTTCTACTGCGTATGTTTACAGACTGGAGTTTTCCACCTGCCACATGGAGACTATTTTATCGAGCCTGTCAAAGAGCACCCCCAGGCCGAGGGCGAGTACCACCCACACATTGTCTACAGGAGGCAGCGGAAAGAGCCGGCCTGCGCATTACAGGGTATTGTGACTGAAATTTCCTCACTGGGTTGAGGAGCTTGTTTTGTTCTGTTATTGTTTTATTCCATCATGACCTGGTCTTATTTAAATCTGCTATTTCCTCCCCATTCTGTTGGCTAGAAGTATGCACCCTTGTGTAAGTCATTTCAGCTCCCTGTAAGTCTCTTCGTATTCTTAATGGAAAAGGAAGGGGCAGTTCCTACATCCTTGCCACGTTAGTTGAAGACACTCCTATGATATTCAGAGTGGTGAATTGGTTTAAAAAACAAAACAAAACACCAAAACACAACTTTTTTGAACCCCTTAGAGGAAGATTAATTAAAGGAAATGAATTTCAGTTTCAGCAATGTTGTCATACATTCACATGGAATAGTATCAGACAGCTTGTCATATCTGCATATGGAACGCAGATTTAAGTGTGTGATGATGCTGACGATGGGTGAAGAGAAACTGAAAAAATATCAACACATTATCAGATGATGAAATTAGCTCAGCTTCTTTCAGGGGCATGTGTTTCTAGTTCGCTGAGGTTCGTCCCTGCCCCTAAGCCCCTGGAATGACCATGCACTAAACAGTTTCAGGTAGCTGTCAGAGATAAAGGATCCAGGAAAAGATGATTTCAAGGAGGGTGGATGAGGAATAGCATAATTGATTTCATGGAGCAGTTATCTAGCCAAATCCACTCACTCCCATACTACCTCTCTCTGCCAAATTGGTTACCTAGTGATCTAAGAAATATTGAATCACACACACCAAGTGTTACCTGCCATCCAATGTAGAACAGGTGGGTTTGCCGGCTGCTGAGGAAGCCTCAGCCCTGCTCTTAAGGCCTTTCGACCCATTATCAATTGATTGTGACCATCTCCCTTCCTAAAATGATCAGTGGGATTAAATGCTGGGACAGTAGCAAGAGATTCAAGAATACTCTAATGTGCTGTGAACACTCTTAAGGTATACATGACATTCGGAACTTTAAAAACTTCATAAATTGAAACGAACTTGGTCTGGCTGCACCAGGGAACTGCAGTGTTCGTCCACCACGTTCCCTGCAGTGATAATGGCATTAACTGGCAGTAGCCATGTCATTAGCCAACATCCAGATACGCCTCATTCTTCGGTTAGTTGGTGTTGTGAGAGTAAATTACTATGATTAGATCAAGAAAGCTGGGCTTATGGAAAGCACTCCGTCCTTGTAATGTTTGAAGCAGGAACACCCTGGGTGTTGGAAAAACCATGTATTGTCTGCCTTTCCCAGTGCATGGCTGTGCCTCCGCCTCACAACCTTTCACTTGGATTATTGCAAAATCCTCTCATTGGCCTCCCCTCCGTTGACCTCCCCCATTAGAAGTCAGAGAACGATTTCCAGACCACAAATCATGGATTCTTTCCCATGCCAAGCGCCTGTCAGCCGGCCCCGGGACGAAGCCGGGGTGTTTAAGAAGCTGCAGGAATGCCTTCTTCGTGTGACTCCGGCCTGCTTCTCGTTCCATCTCTTACCACTCCGGGCACAGCCCGTGCCAGGCTGAACGAGTCGTGATCCCTCAGAGGAAATGCTCTTCATTTCTTCTCGCCCTTGCACTTGGGCTCCTTCTGCCTGAAGCCCATTCTCTCCCAGTGCTCCACTGCCTTCTCTGTGGGACTCTCCGGTGGCTGCCCCCCAGCCAGCATTAGGGGCCTCTCCCGTGACTCTTAACACAGCTACGCCCCCTGCCGCAGGCTTTATTATGAATGTCTGTCTGTGTCCCTCTGGGCAGAAAGCTCCACAAGGACAAGAATCATGTCTGCTCACTCATAGGTGTGTCTCCAAGGCTGGGCAGAGCTCCTGGCCAGCACAGGACCTCCAAAATATTGAGCTTACAAGAGCTATCTATGATGCATTGGTAGCTCATTAGTTGTCGTTTGGTAGCTACCATATGCACTTAGATGTAAGCGATGTGGGTGTCAGTATATACTTAAATTCTACCTACGTGGAGCCAGTTTAACCCATGAGAATACCCACACTTCCCTGAAGAAATATAGTGTCTACAGTGATGCCTTGCTGTTGAGGAGAAATAAGAGACAAACAGGGCAACATTTGGGACCTGTGGCCTGAGGTTGCAGCTGAAAATGACTACTGCCAATTCTTATTTTGGAAAAAAGCAGTGGATGGGTGGATGGGTGGATGGGTGGGTGGGTGGGTGGGTGAATGGATAGGTGGGTGGATGGGTAGGTGGGTGGATGGATGGGTGGGTGGATGGGTGGGTGGGTGGGTGGATGGATGGGTGGGTAGATGGGTGGATGGATGGATGGGTGGGTGGATGGATGGGTGGGTGGATGGGTGGATGGGTGGGTGGGTGGGTGGGTGGATGGGTGGGTGGGTGGATGGATGGATGGATGGATGGATGGATGGATGGATGGGTGGGTGGATGGGTGGGTGGGTGGGTGGATGGATGGGTGGGTAGAGGGGTGGATGGATGGATGGGTGGGTGGATGGATGGGTGGGTGGGTGGATGGGTGGGTGGATGAATGGGTGGGTGGGTGGCTGGACAGAGGGATAGATACATAAGAGCAAGCACATACATTCATTTACTCAACAAGCTCTCACCAAGCCAGGGGTAGTGCTAGGTGGGGGGAGGCAGTGGGGAGCAGGATATCCGCCCAGGCAGCAGCATGGAGACAGACCCAAGGCAGCCTCAGGTGGGAAGGGCAGATGTGCTCCGTAGGCGGATAAAGAAGAGCAGATGCCTCGGGAGGTGAGCAGGCAGGGAGGCCAGAGGCCTAGCCGGCAGCTGCAGCCACACTGCACACCGGGCTGGCGTCTGAGCCTGGAGCACAGGGTCTGGGACGTGGGGAACAGATTCTGAGCCATCCACCAGGCCGGTTTCTGGCATCCTGGGGGGTCTCCTGTGAGGGACCCTCCTCTGTGGACTGCCCGGGGAGGACTGAAAGTGTCCCTTTCCCAGGCACACTCCGCACTTGGATGGACGGGCTGCTTCTGGCAGCCCTTCCCGGTGGCTGTGGCCGGTCCCACCGCCAGGTCAGTGCCCTGTTGGGAAAACAGACGCTCCACCCCCACACTGTCCCACTTCTGTGCAGCAGCTGGGAGTCTCATAAATACCATAAGATTGTTTCTTTACGGGGGAGGAAGTTTACTGGTTATTTTGAAATCAAATATTTGAGGAAATTATTAGAGCACTTGAAGCTCTAAATCTTCTCCAAAGGCAGAGAAGGGGATCCTCAGGGCACTCCCTGGGCCAATTAGCCAATGACGAGACCCTTTGGGAACTTGGCTTCCATTGGTTTGCGTGTCATTGGTTGCCCTTCCTGCAGGCAGTAATAATTTGGTGCTTTCTGTGGGCCAGACACTCAGGGGTACAGCTCTGAGCATGCTAAGTGGGACTGCCATGGACCATAATCTAGCAGGAAGAGAACTGAAACAAAAATTAAGTTTGAAGTATGTGTGGGCATGGGGACGAGTGCTGGAGGAGTATATTGGGGGCTTGACGTGATGGGAAGGTTAGAGAAGGCCTCCTCCCTGGTCCACCACAGGCCAGTGCAGGCACCAGGGCGCTACCTCTCCTGCAGTCACTTCTACTCACTGTCCAGCCTTCGAGGAATGGGGCCTGTTAGGGATTGAATTGTGTTGCCCCCAAACTCATATGTTGAAGTCCTATCCCACAGCAGCTCAGAATTCGAGTGAACTTATAGATGGCATCTTTAAGGAGGTACGAATTTTAAAATGAGCTTAGCAGGGTGGGCCCCAAGCCAATAGGACTGGTGACTTTATTTTATTTTATTTTATTTATTTATTATTTATTTATTTATTTATTTTACAGAGAGGAAGAGAGAGGGAAAGAGAGTTAGAAACATCGATGAGAGAGAATCATCGATCAGCTGCCTCTTGCACACCCCCTACCGGGGATGTGCCCGCAACCAAGGTACATGCCCTTGACCGGAAAGGAACCCAGGACCTTTCAGTCCACAGGTCGATGTTCTATCCACTGAGCCAAACCGGTTTCGGCAGGACTGGTGTCTTTAAAAGGAGAGGAAATGTGGACACAGACCTGTACATGTGAAGGCATGTGAAGACAGGGAGAGGATAGTCATGGGAGACCCAGGAGAGGGGCCAGCTGCAGGCATCATGATCAGGTCACACGTGTGGGTATGCCTGGTCTGTCACCTGGTCTGTCACCAAGGAAAGAAGTGGCTGTCTAGAAACGGAGCCTGGACCCCAGGCCCCTAACTGTGGGAAGGGAGAGAGGTGAGAGTCCGATGTGTAGAAGGTTAGACGGCCTACTTAGGTGGGCAGCTCTCTCTCACTCTTTTCCTTTCTCTGGCTCTCTCTCATACACACGTTTCTCTGAAATGTGGGGCTTAGTTAAAAAGACTCCACATATATTTGAGTGATGTCAAATACAGTAGTTTTAGGACCTCATGTTTTACCTAAATTTAGCCCAAAAGGTGTGTGTGTTTGTGTGTCTATGGTATATATGTGTAGTGTGTGCTTGTGTGGTGTACATTTATGGTATGGATGTGTGTTTGCAAGTGCCAATGTATGTATTTATATGTAGAATGTGTGTGTGTGTGTGTGTGTATGGATGTGTGTTTGTGTGTATTCATACGTAGAGTGTGTGCTTGTGTAGTAAGTGTGTTTATGGGGTACATGTGTGTGTCTTTAACACACGCGTTGTGCACTGTTGGCTCCGGGAGACAGACAGCTCGCTGCTGGCCATGCTGACTGGGATTTTCAGAAGGCCCTTCCCATCCGTGAGTGCGCCGGGGGTGTGCCACGCTCAGAGCCGGGGGTGTGCCACGCTCAGAGCCGGGGGTGTGCCACGCTCAGAGCCAGGGTGTGCCACGCTCAGAGCCGGGTGTTCTCAGGACAGAGGAGCTTTGTCCAAGCCCAGGCCCCGCAGAAGAAAGACTCTGGGCTGCACGCTGTGCTAATGATAGTGCCATGTCCTCCCTGCCAGCACCTCAGCCCTGGCTGCACTTCTGAGGGAGTCGCTGCTGGGTTTACAC